GGTGATGTACAATAATTTATTAAAACAATAAACAAAAATAGCTATTATTAAAATGTAACACCCCCCCCCCAATCACAAGAAAAAGAATGCTAACTATGGTAAAAGAGCCACCTCAAGATCTCACCAGTCCCTGGGATCCCCAGGCCTGATGACAAAGCCAGGTCTTGAGGACTTCCAGAATACTAACTGGGATGGAGCTAACCTCACTTGGAGGGAGGAGCGTTTTCCATAAGGTTCGTACCATGGCAAAGACGGCTTGCCTCCTGAGATCCCCTCAACAGACGGGACTCACAGTCCTCTCTCCAGATCTGATGGGATGGGTAGATATAATCAGGGAAAGCCTGGTTGCAGAAGAAATTTGAACAGAATCGAGGTTTTAGGTCAGTGGTTCTCAACCTGTGGGTCGGGACCCCATTTGGGGTCAAACGACCATTTCACGGGGGTCACCAAACAACGCAGTCCGCCATTTTTCCCCCCTTTTCCTTAGTGTGCTACTCCCTTTTATTCTATTGGCTTTTGAAAGCCAATAGAATAGACTCTCTTGAATAGAGTCTAATTCTATTGGCTTTCAAAAGCCAATAGGAATTGTCTAGGCTGTCTCTGCCCTGCTGAGCCCGCCAAAAGTCCCATTCTGCAAACGGTGCTGCACCAGTTGAGTAGTCCTTGACTTACGACCGGTTGAGTAGTCCTCAACTTACGACCGGTTGGGGGGGTCGCAGCATTAAAAAGGTTGAGAACCACTGTTTTAGGTGATTATGCAACATACGGTAAAGAATATTTAATACAGACAAATGTTCATCTTGATGGTCTAGGATAAGGAAGCAATCACTGGTTTCAGAAAAGGAACAGCTATCAATAATTTCAAATCAATGAGTTGAGAACAGTTTATAGTGTGCATAATAACTATGGGAAAATTGCTCTGAGGCAGATCAAATTAGATGACACTATAAATCAATTTTTACCTTGATTCCTTATGACTGAAAATTTTGGGTGGCATAATTGTCTCATATAAAGCTAAACATACCATATAAGAAATAAGAGTGATAAATGATAACCATTTATGAATGAAGCAGAGCTAATTACATGTGATGCTACTAGTAATTCACATTTGACTTGTTGTCAACATTTTTCCACTAGCAGTGGAAATCTCCCGATTAGCAGCTGACATTGCCTAGATTTGTCACAAGCATGCTTGGATTCCAGACTTTTTAAACACCAATGTCCATTTAGAAATCTGTGTCCACAATTACAATTTGTAGAAACACACGTTGATAACTGCAGTAGAACAGGCAAACAGTAGAAGAATGGCTACACTGTTCTACTAGCTGAGAGCTAGGGCCTGATCAGAAATATAATTATTGTTTGAGAGAAACCAAGTGAGAAGGACAAAGTTTAAGGAAGTACTCATTTATATAATCACATGGTTTAGTCATAAGATAAAACTTTTCTCTGCAATAAATAAATTATGTGTGTATACCAATATAGGCTAGAGGTCTTAATTACTTACAGTATTCTCAAAAATGTCTCAATAATAACTTACTATTATTTCCATTAAAGTTCTATAAAGTACCTATCTTTAATATATTGTTTGATAAGAGCCGAGGTGGCACAGCAGTTAGAGTGCAGTACTGCAGGCCACTTTAGCTGACTGTGTTCAGCAGGTCAGCGGTTCAAATCTCACCCGCTCAAGGTTGACTCAGCCTTCCATCCTTCCGGGGTAGGTAAAATGAGGACCCAGATTGTTGGGGGCAATGTAAATATATATATACATCTCTTACTGGTGTACACCGCTTAGAGAGTGCTTGCACGTAAAGCGGTATATAAGTCTCATAAATAAATAAATAAATAAATATTCAGTATACTATTGCAATTTCTTCCAATCCTAATTTTTTTGTTGTCCAAACAAAATAAAATTATAGTTAATAACCAGGGCTTTTTTTGTCATAGAACGCCCAGAACGGAGTTCCGGCACCTTTTTTGGATGGAACCTTGTAGGGTAGGCAAGGCAGGTTTCTTTTTGAGAAAAAAAGCACTGTTAATAACAATCACAAAACAATAAAAAATGGGAATATTTTACAGAATATTCCCGTTGCATCTATTGGACCTCCTAGCTCAGTGGTAGCGAACCTATGGCACGGGTGCCAGAGGCGGCACTCAGAGCCCTCTCTGTGGGCATGCGCGCCATTGCCCCAGTCCTAGGCCTTCGGCTGGGTTTTATAAAACCTTTTTGCTTTAGGCCTCCACCAAAAAAAAAAAAAAGTCAATTTCAACTTCTCGAGGGAAAAAAAAAGATCTTGCAAAGTTGGAATTGATTGATTGAACTTTTTAGTCCAATCCAGTCTACCATTACCACCGCAGCCACGCCCAGCCAATGGGCCACAACCACCCCACCCGGCACTCGACAATGCATAAGTGGGTTTTGGGTTGCAGTTTGGGCACTCAGTCTCTAAAAGTTTTGCCATCACTGTCCTAGCTATTGTTATCCTGGAAATCTAACTAAGCTGGAGTTATTTGTATTGTAACTTTGAAAAGTTGATGGTGGGGAAATGTAATATTGATAGTATTCAGGTAGAATTGAACTGAGGTGTAGTTCCTTTGGTGTCAAGAAAGCAGCTCTGTGTAACTTAATCACATGCTTAATTAAAATATATATGATTTTTTTGCCCTGAAACTTGTGTTCCCATTTAATGTCCCTTTCATAGTTTCATAGGTCATATCCCTCATTCTGCAGCCTTGTTACATTTCTAAGGCCAAATGGCAGCAGCTTAGCTTTTCAAGATTGTCCAGGTAGCAGCAGCAGCAGCCAAATGTTGATTCTTGGTTAGAAGACCTGGAATTCCCAGGATTGTAAACTATAGTGGGAAATAAAAAAACAAAACAAAACAATAACTAGAAAGAGTAATGTGAATCGCTTCCATATTGTATCACTTGTACAAACAATTTCAGATCACATACTCTAGGAAAGCAGAATATTTATGCCAATATCTAGAATATACAAATGAGTGTAATATCTCCCAATTCATTTTGAAAGTGGATCCAGCAGTAAGATAAATCTTACAAAAAAGACAGAATGAGATCTTATATATATTCTTTTCCTGTATTTAATTTTATTTTTAAATTCTAATTCCCCCCCCCCCCGTGTACATTTTATCTCTTTTTTGCATACTTAAACCTATACCAGTGCATGAAAAGGTACAGTAAAAGATTAAGAAAAGGAAAGTGAAATACAGAAAAAATGCATGTGTTTTGAAATCCAGCTCTGATCAAGACCAATTACCATAACCAATGGAAAATAGATTATTGGAATACCAGTCTGAAACATCTGGAGGAAATTCAGTTGCATGTTGCTACATCTGTTCATGAAGGCAATCCTACAAAACTCAGACCTATTTGTGATCTCCCACCCCCCCCACCTGACTGCATTAATACATGATCAAACACCAAATAGGAAATTCATATTTGATTCCAGCCCTTTTCTCTGGAATATGCAAGTTAATCGTGCTCTGAAGAGCATGAGTAACTTGCATGCTACAGAAATGGAGGAGGATCTATTTTCTTAGTGCATCCTTACATTGCCATCTTAGGCATGGATATGTTTTCATTAGGTGGGAGTAGAAAAAAAGCAGTTCTTTTTTAGCAAGTACTAACTAGAGATGGTTTGTATACTTCACAGTATCAAACCTTTGGTGTGTAGATAATAGCTATCAAACTATCCTCTAACAGAAAATGCCATACAAAATTAAAATGAATTTCCCCAAGCTTTTCTTGTGCCAGTTATTGAAATCTAGCCCCAAAAAAGTATTTTAAAGTGCTTTTACAGAAAACACTACAGTAATAAGACTAAAGTTCTTGAAACTTCAAAAGGACTTTTTCTTCATTAAAAAAATGAAAAGTAGAAATATGCAGCCTTAATCACCTGTTAGCCCTATTTTTTTTAAGCAGACTGAGGTGCCTGCCTGTAGTGTTGAGATTTTTGATGTGAAGTCCAAATCACTGGCAATTAATATTTTTCTATTTAATTTGTTTTCTACCAGGGAGAGTAAGTTGCTTGTGGGATTTTCTGTCTTTGGTAGACTTAATTTGATGAGATTTGTGGATATATGCAATACCCCATTCCCAGTTTCACTTAAGGTAGTGAATTTTTTTTTGGGGGGGGGGAAGTGCTTTAGTGATCCAAGAATACAAATTGCGTAGAAAGTATTGTCTATCTTAAAATTATCCAATGCAATTTTTTTTCTGTCACTCATATTTATTGGTGGGATCACTGGCCCTTTCCCACACTTTTACATGATACTTGGAAATTTAGGAAAGGAAGGAGAGAAAAATGCCCTTCCGGTAGGAGGAAGGAGATAAAGAGTACAGCAAGTGCATTGTATGCCCACAGAATTAAGATGCAGGAGGAACATTGATTTGAGTAGCCAATAGCTCAGGAATGCAATCAGAGCTCCTCAGCTGCTTATGACTGACTTAGGGTACTTTCTCACCCCCCCTCCTCCCCAATCCAATTCTCATAGTCAGTTTTTAGCCTGCACATATCCCTGAGCTTTCGAATGAAGTGAACTTTCCAATCAAAAGTGTCCCTGAAGCAGATGCTCTGCTTCGCTGGCTGAATGCCCCGCACTAACCAAAGGGAACTATTTTTATCATCCGGAAAAACCGCCCAGCCCAGTTCGCAGCTTTCCTTCCGAAAGAGAAGGTGCCGAGCGAGGTTAGAGCCTGCTTGGAAGTCACGCCCTTTGACCTGGAAGCCTTCTCATTGCAGCGATGTTAAAGCTGGCGTTCTGCACTTGCTCAGGCTCCTGCTTCCATTCCGACTGGACTTGACTCTTGGGGTGGGGGGAGCTGAAAGTGGCCGAGAGGGGCGCCTGGCGGGAACGGGCGGGAGAGCCACGGTGCTCTGGCCGCGAAAAGTCCCGCCTCCCCCACGCCGGCTGCGATCTCCTCCCCTGCGGTCCTCTCTTCTCCTCCCACCTTGACGTCTGGAGCTGGCAGCCCGGCCGGTTCCGCATTCCCGACCCCTCCCCGCAGCTCAGGGGCTGCTATATAATAGGGGCTGATGCAACCCACCCAGCCGTCCGACACAGCCTGCGTGAGGGGCGAAGCGACTTGCGGCGAAGGCGGGGCTGCTGCTACCCAGGCGTGCCCGCGGCCGCAGAGCTCGGTCCCGGGACCAGGCTGAGCTCGGCACGGCGGGCCTGGGGAGAGAAGCCGAGAGCCGCTCCCGGAGCTGGGCGGCGGCAGCGGCGGCGGCGCTGGAGGACCTGAGCGTGCGACTCGCCTCCCGCTGCAGCCGGGCCCCGGGGGCACCTTTTCCGTCCCTCCGGTGGGTATAGAAATGGATTGCGCGCGGCGGAAGGGCGGGTTGGTATTGCGGGAGCTCCGCGCCTGGTTTCTTCCTGGTTCGCCTGCCGAGGCTGCGATCGTCGGATCGGACTTTCTGCGTCTCTGCTTGGGCCTGTGCTTCCCCCCTCCCCCCGAGGACCGACGTTCGTGGAGCCTCAGCCTCTTTGGGGGCTGCTAGCCCTGGGCCGTTGGGGCATTCCCTAGGGTCGAAGCTGCCGCGCCCCCCCCGCCCCCCCATTAGCTGCTGCTTAGGACTCTTAACTGCCTTGCTGACACGCAGAGTATCTAAATATCGTGGTGGCTTTTTTCCCCCGGTGCAGAATTCCAGTACATTTTTATGGTGAGCGGGAAAGTGTAAAATGTTCTGATACTTAGTGATGGAAGAGAAAGCTCCGTTGCTATTTATTTATTTTGGATTAATCGATGCGAAACATAAATTGTCGGGTATCTGGATATCCTGGAAGCTTTTCTCCCTGATTGCTTGTGAGGCATTATTTGGTATTCACAACTTCCCAAATATAATAGCTTGGAATCTGGGCTGGAAAAGGATTGAATTAAATTCCTTTTCCTAATCTAGCAAATTGCATCAAGGCAGGATACTTGGCATCAGATACAAAGCACCGATATGGGTAATTAGATTACTATGACTCGTGGACTTCAATTCCCAGAATTCCTGAGCCAGCTTAGCTGGCTCAGGAATTCTGGGAGTTGAAGTCCACGAGTCATAAAAGAGCCAAGGTTGACTACCCCTGGATTAAACTATAAGGAGGAGGAAGTGGGTGCCTGTGTCTTCAGGTCAGAGGTGACCCTTTAATGCAGGTACACTATCCAGCCATCATGTTTAGGAATGTTGTAAATTACTAACAAGGCAGTGATGTAATATTTGGAGGAAAATGTTATTCCAGTTTAATTTTGTATTTTCTTTTACAAGCATTTTGTTTATTTGGAACATTTTCATTTCACTTTTCATGGACAAACAGTTCCAGAGGGACATTTTTTTTTCTTCATCCCACTGGAAGGTTCTTTTTGTGTCCATCATCATTGGACATTTTATTTCACTGTTTGCTTTTCTTTCTCTGCCTTCCTCTACGTCCTATCATTTAGCTAATCTTTTCTTTCTTTAGCCATCTATTTGGCTCCTCTTCCATCCACTCTCATTTTTCTAGAGTCAAAGAAAACAGGATGGGAAGGCCCTGTCTTCTATTTGATATTAAGGAAGAAATTCATGATAAAGGTGGACTCTGCAGCATAGTGGGCTGGCGTTTCCAGGTAGGAAAATATCAGCAAGGTTTTTGTGTTCCCAAAGAGATAAAAGAGCTGCAGAGTGCTCCCAATAGATAGCAAATAACAAAAGAGTTGCAGTTTACTTATGCGTTATATAGAATTGCTGTAAGCATTATGCCTTCTGTGCTAACTACCCTCTTCCCTTCCTTGTGATTTTCTTGTTAATAATGTTCCTGTGTTATCACTGCTTCAGCCATAGGTTTTCTTCCATTAATCCAGAGATATATTTCCCCATCCATCCATGTGTCTAGGGCTTTTATGAATGAGTTTGCTGCTTCTGGATGAGGCCATCTCTACTGGTTTTTAGTTATGCTACTATAATGGGATGAAAGTTGTGGATATAGAAGTGTTACTTAAACTGGGCTAGGCCTTGCCTGGAGGAGCTAGAAAAAGTGATTTGAAGCTTGCAAGTTCCATAGTTTTGATTTGGGCGTGCCTGATAGTTTAGCCACACCTTTTCTGGCATGTTAAGGAGGACATGCAGATTTTATTTTACTGATTGAAAACAAGAGCATGAAGGCTTGAAGAAAGCATCTTCCTGGGACACATATTTTCAGTGTGTTGCTTTCTTTGCATATTTTTTGCCTATTGTTATAAACTGAGTGCTTTCTTGGGAAACACTGTGACTTTCTGGAAAACTGGTGACCTTTTGTGTTATTGTTCTGTGTTTTTTTCCCCACAGGACAGTTTTACCGAGTATACAGCACTGTAGGTTCCAGATCCACGAATGCACAGAATGCTGTTTTAATCCCTTTCAAAAATATCTTGTTACTAACTAGGATTGAGAACTTCTCTTTCTGTTTAGACTGGCAAAGAGAGTAATGGAATAATGCTGCTTTTTGCCAGTCTGCTTGTTCATTTCTTTAGTTGATTGTGCAGGCTAGTAATCTTTTTGACTAAATCTTGAGCAAACCTCACGTCCACCTGATCTGTTTTATTCAGAAGAAGGTGGATACTTCATGTCTGCCATTTCTCAAAAGGTCTTCCTTCTTCCACCTCTCTGAAACCTGTGAAAGAAATTACGCAGCAGAAAAAAATCCTAAATTCACTTTAGTAATCAAGCATGAAATGGAGCTAAAGCTGGTTTTTTTGCATTTCCCTCTAGAAGGCCCTTTTCTTTTTTCCCCAGTCCCTGCCCTTAATTATTTTGGAGTTGATTGCAGATGAAATTGAGAGGAGAGAGAGAGAGAGGAAAAACAGCAAGCAAGAGCCACATTATGTTTCTTTTTTCTTTTAATGAAGGGCCTGCGGAGGTGTACTTGAAAACACAGGGTCTCCTATGCCCTCAAGGTGGGTGAGAACACTCACTTGGCTGGTTCCAGGGCCATATGCAACTGATGGTGGCCAATGAAATGGGGCCTGGCTCGTTCTGTTGCTTGTCTTGGCAGCTTACTCCATGGCTTGTATTACCAGCCCTGGAACGCAAGGACTGCCAAACTCACTCGCTGTATGTGTATGTGCATGTGTGTGCGCGCACGCGCATATGTGGGGCTTGGAGAGCAGAGCAGAGACAAATGGTTCACTGAGTCAGGCTAGGAATTTTTCAGCTTATTTCTTGCTTGCATGGAAGCAATCTGCAGGCTCTTGCCAGAGTTCTCCGCTGGGAATTGGCAAACTTGTGGGGGCGTTCAGGAGACCAGTTGTTAGGATGTCAAATTCTTTTGTGCAGTTCCTAACAGTTTAAAATGCCAATTTGTGTGGGTGGGTCAGCAGGACGCAGGACTTGCAGTCAAAATCCATCTTCCTTGCAAAGAGCAGCAGATAGCTGGCTGTCTTGAGATTACATGGCTTGTTTTGGAGGATTTAAGAGACAAATGCGGCTGTTTGCTCTGTAACCTCTGGCCATTATGCAGTAAACGCCATGGGAATATTGCATCCCTGTCATGAATTCTAGTGACTTTCTCATTGAAATATGATCTTTATTTCTATAGTTATTGTTCTAGAAACATAGATCAATACCAAAGAGATTGTTGCAGAAGTGAAAGAATGGGCAACATTATAACTGGGGTTAAAATGTGGTGATCTGCCTAATAGATCTAGGTACAATTCCTATAAATATCCAGTTCTGGAACATGTTTCACACAACATGCTAAGCTGCAAAAAAAAGCAAACCACTATGTCTTCGGTTTTATGAAGAAGGCCTAGGTAGAGACAGGAATATGTTCTTAGGGCTCTCTTGCTTAAAATAATTTAATTGGGTCACGCTTCCCCAATTTAGGCAGGCTAAATTACACCATCTCATTATCATCAGTTAGCACTATTAATTTGCAGCAAATTGAACTAGGCCTAGGTTAACTTAATGAAAAAATCTGGAATCTGAATATGAAAAAATATATATCAGAAAAATATCACTTGTTTAATACACAAATGTAATATTAAAAGAAGAATATTTTTCTATCCTCATAATTTTCAGAATAATTCCACACTCTACTTCCAGTCAGTTTGAATATTTGCATAGCTGTCCTTTAAAAAGTAACGCACATTAGAAAAAGATAAAAGTATTTGCTTTCAGATATGCCTTTTTTATTCAAACACATATGGAGATTAAAGACATAATGAATGGAGATTAAAACATTATTCTCCAAAGCACCTGAAAGTAGAACAAGAAGCAATGAATGGAAACTAATCACGAAGAGAACCAACCTAGAAGAGAACCAACTTAGAACTAAGGAGAAATTTCCCGACAGAAGAATTAATCAATAGAACTACTTGCCTCCAGAAATTGTGGGTGCTCCACCCTGAGGCTTTGAAAAAGAGACTGGACAACCATTTGTCTGAAATCGTATAGAGTCTCTCACTTGAGCAGGGGGTTGGTCTAGAAGACCTCCAAGGTCCCTTCCATTTTTTAATGTGCTTCAAATGTATGCCAGCTCCTTTATGTCACTTGGGCAGCAGGAGCAATTTTCTACTTAGGCAAGTTATTTGTGGTTTGGCAGGTTTAATTGCTTCACTTTGAGAACCTCAATAAAAAGCAAGGGACACATAAAATAATATGGAAGATGATATCTGGGTGCACAAACTTGAGTCTGAGTAACTGCACTAGAAAAGCTGAAACTTTAGGCTACCTCTTGTGACCTGCTACCTCTTGTGACCTGATATGCTCCATCTGTGTTGAACTATAACTTGATTTATACCCCTGTCCATGTGACCTTAGACCAGCAATTATAGGAGCCGTGTTTAACATATCTAGAAGGCACTGAATTGGAAAAGATAGATTTAGATTAATGATAGTAACTGATTTGATTTAAAATAAGGCATTTTGGCTTCCTTTAGTCCCTCTAGTTGTTATAAATTACAGTTGCAGTGGCCTCTTGTGATTAAGAATGCTGAATGGGGTTAGCGCTGCTCTGGAAGATGGCCTGTCCCTGCTCTAAGGCGAAAGGGGTTAGGGAAGGAGAACTGATCATGATAAAATACAGTATACACTTTGCACTGAAATGCTCCTTTATCAAATTTAGTATCTCCCCTTAAGTTGGCAGGTGATATGAAAGAGATGTTTCAAATGCTACAGAGCTCCTGGTCTAGTGGAAAAGTAGTGGAAGATCAGGTGTTATATAATGGTTGAGATGTTGGGCTGGCAGGGAGGAGACCCAGATTCTAATCTACTTTCAGCCATGGAAATCCACTGGATGATCTTGGTTGAATCATTTAATATCTCAACCAACCCCCCTCTTCCCTAGAATTGTGGAGGTAGGAGAAATATGTTTTGTATTGCACTTAAATAGAAATGCATACTAAAAGGAAATACCTAATACTTAGTTGTCTCTGACATAATATAAGACAGCTGTGTATTATCAGGAATATTGTGCATATTTATTTTAGGTACAATGTATATTTGAAATCATACTTAATACCAGAGCTTTTTTTCTACAAAAAAAAAAAAAAAGGTGCCGGAACTAATACACGTCATACAACCCACCTTGCCTACCCTACAAGGTTCCATCCAAAAAAGGTGCCGGAACTCCGTTCTGGGCGTTCTATGAGAAAAAAAGCCCTGCTTAATACTACCCATAATTCTTTCTTTCTAGCTTAGCATATTGCATAAATGCAGCTGTTAAGGTTTGTAAGCAAAGTTAGTTCTAGTTTATTAAACAATGGTTTAGAGCAGTGGTTCTCAACCTTCCTAATGCCGCAACCCTTTAGTACAGTTCCTCATGTTGTGGTGACCCCCAACCATAAAATTATTTTCGTTGCTATTTCATAACTGTAATTTTGCTACTGTTATGAATCGTAATGTAAATATCTAATATGCAGGGTGTATTTTCATTGTTACAAATTATACTGTTATAATTTCAGTATAATAGTTATACTGAAGGCCTGTGTAGCTGAAGCAGATTGGATTAAAACAGAATGGCTGCATTTCTGCAATTTATGAAGCTTGATTACTTTAAACTTGATGTCAGTGTTGCTTTTTTTGTGTGCGGTCTTAGTGAATTATGGAACTATAACCCCTTTATTCTTCTATTATTATGTGATTCAGAAAATGGGTCATTTCAGCAGGTCTTCTTTTCTCCCCCTAGCTCCCCACCCCAGCTCAGTCAGCAGCTCAGTTCTGGGGCTGTGCCTGCCAGAATCTTAGGAGAGATTTTTGGAAGGAGGTCTTGTCCACTGAGGCAGAGGCAGCAGAAGGGAAATCCATTCCTTCCTCCCACCCCACTGCTGGTTCCACTGAGCAATAATCAACTGCTTTTGGTGCAGCAGCCAGGGCAGGAAGAATGGGGGGCATTACTGCAGCAACTGCAAGAAAAGGCCCCTTGGAGCTTCTTGATTCCACACTAGGAGCAGATTCATTTTGCCCCCCCCCCCTGCTTTCCAGAGGCACACTAGGAAACAGAGAAAAGGCAGGCAGGAGGGGAAAGGGAAACACATGCTGCAGACCAAAACATCCACCCAAAGCAGCATTCATCTCCAAAGCCTCCCCCCCTTTGATCTCTTCCCTTTTTACTGCCTGGACCAGTTTTCCTTCTCCCACATGTAATGAAATGGCGCTCCCTTCCCCTGCATCCCACAAGTAGAAAGCCATCAAGAGGGGGGAGGAGGAAGGATTGAGCAGCAAAAATCAAAAAGTACGTGCTGACTTACAGAAGGCTGCAGGGATCATAGAGGAGGAGAGGACGTGGGGGGAAAATCAGCTGCCGTGGGAAGAGAGGAGCAAAGTTGTCTTTAGCCATCGAGAAAAAGCGGAGGGCACCAACTGCACTGCAGGGCAAGAAGTAAAGGATGGAAGAGAGGAGGGGGCTCAGAGTTGGGGGGGATGCGCACACAGGGCGGTAGGGAGATAGGAGGAAGCCGGGCTTCGATAACTGGCCGCTTGCCAGAAATCACGATCCCCCTGAGGGAGCGATGCTTCCCTGAGCCAGAATGAAACCAAACGTCCTTCAGAGAACTCTGGGCCTGCCTGAATGAAGATCAATGGCTTTCCCTTCCGCTTGGCTCTGCTGGGCCCACACGGAATCCAGGGCTCTCTGACAGGGCAGGGGTAGGTGGGGGAACAGTAGGCAGGAGAATCGGTGGCAGGAGGGGAAGGGCTGTTCTGCGGGGTTGCCTCTCACCTCTTCAGGCGAAGACTACTGGAGCTGCAGCTGCTTTGGCTGCCCACCAGGTGGGCGGTCTCGGAAGGGTCGCAAACTCATCCCCCTGCAGGCAGTCCTCTGCTCCCCCACCCCGGACTTGCCGTTCCCATCTAGCACAGGTGAGTCCCACTGAGCCCGCCAGAACTAGTGATCGGGGCAGTGGAGGAAATTTCCGACTCCAGTTAGCACCACTCGGTGCCTTCCTGCATCCGGGAAGCGTTCGGACTAAGCCGACCTTCCGTGGTTTGTGGGGCAAAGCCGAGCAATATCGCGCCAACTCCTCTGCAGAATACGAGGAGAGACCAGCTCGGCTGCGAAAAGGCTTCCCTGGAAAAAGTGTTCCTGTTTGATTCAGCCAAAGGACATCCGGCACTGCACGGAGAGCCTTTAAAGCCATTCCCCGATCCCGAGGTGGATGCAAAAGAACACTGCCGCGTATCTTAGACTAAGTTCCTAAGACCATCGGAAATATGTGTTTTCCAATGGTCTTAGGCGACCCCTGTGAAAGGGTCATTCGACCCCCGAAAGGGTCGCGACCCACAGGTTGAGAACCGCTGGTTTAGAGGGTTGTGTGAAGCCAATGTGTTCTTGACCTTGCAAAAGCCAAATGTTCTTTTCCCTAGATAAATATTCAAGGGTATTATTAATGTGATAATACATAGCCTTCCGTTCTCTTTCTCAACTGTCATTCAGGCTTATAGCATCAGTGTCATTTTTAATCACATGAATTCTGAAAAAAATAAAGCTTTCTGTCTAACAGTGATCCATTTTTAAATGTCATTTATTTTATTTAACACAACTGCTTATGATTACCCTTCAGTCAAATGAACATTTATAACTACCTGTCAAACAAATGATTTCCAAAGGTTACCACATCTGTCAGAAACAACAAAACCTGCACATACATACCTTGCTCCTTGCACATACACACGAATACAAAGCAATGCCATTTCCCCCCCACACCTCCTTCACATTTTGCATTTTAAGAGCAGCAGCTGAGTGATAGTTCTGGCAGGATGTGTTATAGGTTTGGCAGGATGGGAGAAACAAGCTCTCTGTAGCTTTTCCTCCCTCTACAATACACGAGACCTTTCTCTTCCCACAGGTTTTCAGAGAGGAGAGAGAAGTGCAGTTTCAGTGGTCCTTCGTCCCCAACTTGGCCAATAGTAGAGGGGAAGAGTGCTTCCATCATGCTGTCCAGTCCAGGACTATTGATGGGTAGTGAAGGAACAAAAATAGTATAGGACTCTGGTTTGCTTTTTTTTTTTTTTCCAGTTAACTGTTCCAGTCTTTTAGGGGGTAATTCTTTAAAGATAGGCCTTTTATTTTTTTTACTAGGAGTGATCGATCTCTGTGTAATTCTATACTCTTTTCTTATCGCTTAGTCTTTCCAAAATCATTGTGCTGAACAATATGAATTTTTCAACAGATAAAAAAAATCAGTGATCCTTTATGAAGTTTTTTTCCCCTAACTTTCAATAATTGGCTGCAGCTAGCACAACCCAAATCAGATATGGGAAAGGATTTTAAATAGTAGTACTTTCCAAAGGAACATTTTTGTAGGCAGTACAAAAGTTGATCAATGCTTTTGAGATTTCATCTGGGGAGACTACATAATTCCTAGTCTTAAATAATCTGTGCAATTTGTTAACTTCCTTTTGTAATTCCGCCTTCCTCCTTGAGTTTATAAATACATCGAACAGATCCCTTGCTGAATTAGCTAATCATTGCTTCTTGTTTGTTAAAGCATTCATCCACAGAGTTGGTTTGGTTCCTCTTAGCATAGAAATTATTAATTCCTCCTTTTTTTTGTGACCAACCTCCTTTCAACTTAGCACATGCTTATAGACACAAAAAAGATACAATGTTCAGTTATCTAGCTATGCTTAATTTCCCCCCCCCCCAGCCTTTTGTATTTTATTTTCTTTGTTTAACTGTTTGAAAGCTGATTGGTTATGATCTGTGATGGGATTTCTTAATAATAGTTTATATTCATTAAGATATCTTTCTCCAAAGATTTTTGTGCAATGTCCTAGACTGAAATCTTTTAAATACATGGCAGGAAAGTCTGCTTTAAAACTTAATGTATGTTTTTTATTTATCAATTTCCATAGCTGGGTATGTGGGGTGGGGGAGGGAGGGAGAGAGAGAGAGACAGAAAGAGAGAGAAAGAGACAAAGAGAGATGGAAAGAAAGGCGCGGGGGGGGGGGAGAGTTTCACAGAAAATAGCCAATTATAATGCTTCTTCCTAATACTCTTTGTATTCTCCCTGCTTAGCTTTCTATGGCAAATGATGGTTAGCTTCTCCTTCTTTTCTCTAGGGTGTGGAATTGTGTATCTTGCTATGATGCCAGGGCAGATTCCAGACCCATCCTTAACAGCTGGCGCTCTGCCTGGCCTTGGCCCTTTGGCAGGGTTACCTGGTACTACCTTGACAGCAGAGGAGCTGAAGTATGCTGACATTCGCAGCATTGGGGCCATGATCTCACCACTACATTTCCTGGAGGTGAAACTGGGCAAGAGGCCTCAGCCAATGAAAAGTGAGGTAGGTTCTAAAATAAAATTGGGTCAAAGTGTCACCTGTATCTGTCAACCAGGGTTCAAAAACAATAACGATTCGTTCCTTTTGTTCATAAACCTACAGGCTTTCTCTGCTTGTGCATGTGCATGCTTTGAAAAATATTTGGAAAGGTGATTCGGGCGAGGTCTGTACCTTTTCTTCTGTTCTTGAAAGCAACCCAATTATTTCTATTCTTCCATGTGAGCCTGAAAAAATATACCACTGCTTTAAGTGACCTATTCCTTAAAGGTAATGAGCTCATGGGGATTTCTGGTTTTTATTGGGATTTTTTTTTAGATTTCTAAATTAGGCAAGATAAAAATTTTGAAAATGAAGATAGTATTAGTCACCCAGGATCTTAAGAAGTACTAAGGATAGTTTAAAAAATAAATTTAGTCATGTTGTTAAGCGCTGTTCAGTTCAAGGCATTTTACTAGTCTCCTCATGGGTATGGTAAGGAAAGAAAGGTTTGAACTCAATTCCCATCTTCTCTGAGCATAACCCATGCTAATATGGATACCAGGAAAGAGAAGGCTGGCTTAGAGTAAAGGAGAATAATGGAACTGCATAATGGAAAAAGTGATTAACACATTTGGAGGGTACTTGCTTGTGAAGGCTTGTGAAGGCTCAACTGATAATACTGGCAGGGTAATAACTGTGAGAAAGTAGCACAATGTAATATTTAGCATTTTCACATTGTTGGAAGGATAATAACGTATGCACTTCATAATTTCAAAATAACTACCCAAAATAACAGAAACTGGTTCTGTGGAACAGTGGCATCTCTTAGATCAGAGCTTTTCAACCGGTGGTACGCGTACCACTTGTGGTACATTAATGAGTGGCAGGTGGTACGCAGCCCTGCCTAGCCAAGTGTAGTGGGGGAGGGAAAGAGCCAGCACAGGCAAGGACTTACAGTGAGAGAGGCCTCTGGAGCTGCAAAGGCCCTAGGCTCACTTTTGGCTCACCCTCCCCCATGAGAAAGGAGGGGGGTGGAGACAGGAGAGCCTATAAAAGGAGTTTTGGGCAGGAAAAGGAGAGAGAAAAAAAGCAGCCTTGAGAGGAGGTAGAGTCAGCTGCACCGGAGGGGGAGGGTGGGGGGAGAGGAGATCAAGCAGGCTGGCCATGAGCTGATCTACAACTGCTGTGGCAGCCACCTGTGCTGGCAGCAGCAAACAGGCAAGAAATGCAGCGGGGGAGGGGTCGCCCTCCAAAAGGAATGGAAAAAGGCAGCAATGGCTGGAGGTGAGGCACAGAGGAGGGAAGGAGATGGAGGGTGGAAGGATTCTTATGTGCTTTTGTGATTTCGAAGTTCTGGGATTTGTGCAATGAGGGCTTTGTGTTCTTAAGGAGTGTTTGGCAATTTCTATTTGGTTGATGTCTCTTGTTAGCTTCTGTTGCTCTGCTGTTGTTAGCTGTAAGTTTTGCTGCAAGGGATTTTGAAGTATTTTTCTCCTGAATAGATTTTGCCTGTAGCATTCCTTTACTTATGAATGGAACTATTTGGGGAGGTTGCCTTAGCCGGCAGGCAGTACATTTCTTTTCTTCCTTAAGTGCCAGCTGCCCTCCTTATTTTCCTTTCTAGCCAGTAGCTAATTCTTAAAGGGGAATGTGCCTTTTTAAGCTAGTTCACTTAGCAGTTTGTCTTTTCTGCCTCTGGAGGCCTTTCCTTGTTTGATCGATATATGGAAGAGGGAAAATATGGGGGAGGGTTTCAAATTCTTCCTTCAGAAGGAGATGGGAATGAGAAAAAGAGAGGCAGGGAAGGGAGGGAGGAAAGGAAGTCCTGCCTTAGCACTTGGCCACCAGCAGCTCTGCCATTGACTTTGCTTGTCAAAAGGTTGCACATGACCCTGGAACACTGACCATTATAAATATGAATCAATTGCCAAGCATCCAAATATAAATCACATGACACTGGGCATGCTGCAATGGTCATAAGTGTGAAAAATGGTCATAAGTCATTTCAGTGCAATTGCAACTTTGAACAGGTTTTTTTTTTTTTTTTGTCATCAAGTTTTTGACACCTTGCTAGATGGTACTCGAATATTGCCATATCCTAAAAGTGGTACAATCGGTAAAAAGGTTGAAAAGCCCTATCTTAGATCCATAAAGCCATAATTCTTCCGGCCTTTCACAAGGCACTAAAGACTTGGCTTTTCTATGGACACCAGACCAGAACATTAGGGAAGCCTGTTTTTAGGGTATATGTGGATACAAACGCATGAGAGAGAGCGTGAACCTTGGATATGATGGGCTTTTAAATTTGTTTTGTTAATTGTTGCTATTAACTGGATGTTGGCTGCACTGAATCACACATCAAGTGGCAGCCATATAAATTGAATGAATGAATAAGCCTACGTATAAATACTTAGTGTATTAAAGAACTGACTACTTGGTTAGTTGGTACAAAGCTCATACAAAACGGCCTGGAAGGTGTCTTTTTTTCTCACACAACCAGGATTATAATGAAAAAAAGTAAAGTTGATCCTCCTTTCTGGAACTGAGAAATGGGTTATGTTTATATAGTTATACTTTTTTATATTTGTAAGAATACATTTACTCCATTAACCTCAGAAAAGCTGGCGTCTGTGCGTGTCTTGTAAAAAGAAAACATGTGGTTTTAAAATAATGTTGACATTTGTGATCTTCTTCACATTTCTAAAATATTTACTTGGAAATATCCATAGTGTGACTTGTTTCTACATAAACAAGTCTGATTGATTTGGGCAGAAAGGTCTAATAATGTAGTAATTTACAGAGGTAAGGTTATTGTTACAAGGAAGTGAATATTCAATGCTAAATGTTGGAATATATAGTAATGCAGATTTGAAGGAAGAACAAATGGCAACAATGGAGAGTCTAGCCATAGGAGGTGTGACTACAGAATGCAGCGTAAGCAAAGGTTTTATATTTTGCCTTGAGGAATGAAGTTGCTGGCCACTAAATTCTATGCATTGAATTCAAGATGGGATTATATGGGATTATACCATCTAAACAGGGTTGATTTCGGCATTGCATTCCAGGGACTTTTAACAGGAGTGCTGCAGATACTGGCTGAAGGTCACCCAAATAATTTAAATCTTTCAGGATCCTTTACAATGAGATTCCCAGGAGAAAAAATTTAAATGGCTTCTTTGCTGAAGTTTTATTCAGTAGTGATATAAAGTGTCATCCAGGCCTCACTGGTGATAAATGGTCCACTGGCATAATGATATGCTGTCCTGAATCTCCTTGTGCTTATGCATGGGCAGGGAGAAGAATATTTTGAAGGTGCTAATTGACTGATGAATAATTAGTGGCATGCTTTCCCACTCTCCCTCTTAAGATGTAGGCATCTATTCCACATCAGTGTCATCAGGACACGCGAATCTGTTTGTGGGCTTGTTAAAAAGCCCATAGCCAGAAAAGCAGAATATAGCTTTGAGTGTTTCAATCCATGTCTCTATGGCAGCTTAAGGATTAAATGTTTTGTGGAAGAAAGCATCATGCGCTAGGGTGTGTGAGATGTAGTTAGCATCACATGATTCCTTGTCTTTGTTCAGTTGTCTTATTGCACTTGCGTTTTTTTCTTTTAGCTAGATGAGGAAGAGGAAAGGAGAAAAAGACGCAGAGAGAAGAACAAAGTAGCAGCTGCTCGATGTCGGAACAAGAAGAAGGAGAGAACTGAATTCCTGCAGCGGGTGAGTGTGACCCCTTGTTCCTTTTACTGTTATAAAGTGAATAAAACATCTGAAGAAAATCCTGCTTTTCTGGAAGCTCCTGTGTTATTCTTTTCCATCTGTGCTTCACAATGTACAGCAATCTAGCTGTGAATAGAGAAGTGTCTGTTTGTTTTGGATGTTGGATGAGGCAGTGGCTTCTTCCTACAGTATAATTGAAAAATTGAAAACTTCACCTCCACATTTCTCTGATTTTGCATAGGAATCTGAACGCCTGGAACTCATGAATGCTGAGCTGAAGGCACAGATAGAAGAGCTAAAGCAGGAGAGGCAGCAGCTGATCTTGATGCTGAATCGCCACCGTCCCACCTGCATTGTTCGGACAGATAGTGTGAAAACACCAGAGAATGAGGCCAATCCACTGCTGGAACAGCTTGAGAAGAAATGAAAGAATGCATGGTGGGCAAGGAGTTGCACAAACAGGGTCTCTGAGAGTCTCTCATCTAATTACTGTATGACGAACTGTGCACTGTTAAGATTAGTGCAGTCGGGACTAATGAGCTTCCTTAAGGATTGCACATTCCAGATAAAGGAAGAGAAGAAGAATCAGTGGAACACTGAAGTGCCACTAAGAGGTCAACTTGAGTGGATGTGGAGCCATTCTGAAGGCTTTCCTGGTTGTCCCTGCAGTACTTCAACTTGCGGAATATCCTTTAAGCAACCCATTACAGGCCTGCATTTCAAGCCCAGAACATTTTGGGACACTGGGAGATAGCATTATGGTTCTCGCTACTCCTCTTCTCACAGTGATTGGTTGAGAGTTAGTAGGGACCAGGTGGAAGCCATCAACAGGCAAAACTGGGCAGACATTAGTTCTTGTATCCTCCCCATTTAGGACCTGCCGTGCTCTCTCTCTCTCTCTCTGTCTCTCTTTCTTTCTGTTTCTCTCCAGAACTAAAACAGAAACCAAGAATGGCAAACACTTGACACAAGTCCTGCCTCATTGCTGGGCCTGTCTGTGGCACTGTGGCGCAGGCGCCCCCACAAGCACACCCTCAGTATAATGTTTACAGCCCAGCTGTCCAGAGGCCATGCTTTTAAAATGCACATTTTTACAGTTTTTAAATATTTTTTTATAAAAGTTTTATACAGTCTCTATATGGATTTATATAATCACTTGATGTGATCCAATAGAAATGTATGTTATTAAGGTCTTTGTTACAAATATATATGCCGCAGTTATCTCCATTGTGTTATTTGTTTGGTGGTGTCCGGGTCCTTTCCCTCGGCATGCTGGGAAAGGGTCCTATGCCTTTAGTCTGGCTCCACTGCCATGTCCATCCATGTACGTCCTTCATAATATTCAGTCCTGTATCAGTAAATGTTAACTTTTACTTACCCTCCTATCTCCTGTGCTTCATTTTGTGTTCTGATGTGCTGATTATATTTTTGACCTACTTTTTCAGAATTATTGAAAAAAAATGTTTTAAAATACTTTAGTAGCCAAAATTCAGGCCACCACATCTTTAATTTCATCAGTCTCATCCCTGATACCTTGCGTGTTTGTGTCTAAATTTTATATGATCACCTGTCAGAATATATATTAAAAAAATCAGAATTTAATTTGAAAACTATATTTAATTTGAATAATTGGCTGTTGGTGATATCTCACAACTCGGGTTAAGATAATTATGAAGTGTCAAGATAACTATTTTGCACAAAACTGCATGCAAATGTTTAGGCACTCTGGTCAAATTGCATGTTTCAGTGAATCAGAGAATAGAAGGATTTAAACAAGGTATCGTTTTGAAAATTTGAACGCATATGTCCTATTGAGTAATAGATTCAGAATGTGGAAGCAGTAAATATGGCTGATGCAAAAGCTTTCCAACTGATTCATTAATATATATATTTTTAGCTGTATAGACATTTGTAAGGTCTTCAAAAGGCGATGAACTCAATAGACCTACTGTTAGCCAATTGAAAACAATTCCATAGGTAAACAAATACTCTGACCTTTGTAATCTTTTAGATTGTGATACCACAGTTCTATCTATGTTCAACAATGTGGACTCCTCTATAAGCAGCTGTCTAAGCATTTGAAAATGAAAATAGTTCAGTCTGACAAAACCAGGGAAGACTAAAACCCATCCGTCTATCTACCTACCCCACAGACCATTACATATATGTTCGTGTGCGTACATGTTTATCAGTCCAACCACACACACATGTACAGTTTAATTTATTGCAGATCATGTTCTGTTTTTAAACTCATCTTACTCCTTGCATTTCTAAGGATAACACTCCTGCACTCAAAGTGGTGCCTAGACTATCAAAGTCATTATCAGTTCTCTTTCAAGTATACAAGGCTCTTCATTTTTCTGGAATTAATAATCTAGAGAATGTGTCATATAAACCTACGGTTTCACATAATAGGGATATTTGGAGGTTCTTTCACGGCTAGAAAGTCTGTGACTATTCAGATATTATCTTACTGCAAATCCGGTCATTTGTTAGACTGATTGAAAATTGAAGGCCAACCAGTTCCGCATCTTTATCCTAACAAAACAATAATGGAAATTCAACTTTTGGCATGAACTGCTTTAATTCCTGGGGTGAAGAGAAACATCTTTGATGATAATCCAAAGTGATGCCTTTCGGACAGGTTAGACTTTAATACTTATAATTCCTACTATGAGTCAGGATTATGGAAGTTGAAATACTATGCATTCAGGGAGCAATGATTTGAGGAAATATACTCTATACTGCCTCTCCTGCCAAGTCTTTAGCCCCTTACTATAGTAGAAATACAGTATGTGTAAAACCTAAATCTTTCCTTATGTCTGTCTACACATTGTACAGTGCATGTCATTGCAGTAAGAAATTATCCTTAATTCCAGTTGAAGTGCAATTTAAGTGAGTTGAATAGGAATTCTTGTCCATTAGAAAACCCAACAGTGACAACATGACTTTGACTCTACTCTGCCAAGAAGAGCTGGGCTAGGACTATGGCAGTGTTCCCATAACCGTTTTCCTACTTGACCTGCTTGAATTGCTACAGAGCAGGCATCGCTAATATGCAAGCTATTAGGATTGTATCTTCTTGTTAGCAATACCACTTGGTTCCCAAATTCCTTTTGGCAGCTCCAAAACAGAAGGAATGAGAATGTATTAAAAGTAGAAAGCAAGTTGACAAATTGGACTTTATTGCAAATAAATATTATTCCCTCTAATCTATGTTCTCTTAGCAATTATGATAAATGAGAGAGATAAGAGTTCTCATGCCATATTCATTCATTCATCCATTCATTCATTTATATTTCATGTTTCTAGACCATCTCCCTCAATGTTATATTTTGCTGAATTTCTCCTGAACTATTTGCCAGTTTTCTAATGTTTCCTTTTTTAAATCTGATTCATAAACTGTTGTCTTAAGTTTTATTGAAGAAATATATACATTATTGCAATAGAGTGTATGAACAGAAATGCGTATTTCATAACCTCTGTTTATAAACTTTATCACAGCAGTGAACAGTAAAAATATATTAAGGAAGCAACATGTTATAAAAATTGGCCGGAGAAAGACAGCAAAATGAGTCTAATAAATGTCAAATATAGGTTTCATAGGTCTTTTTAAATGATACAATTTGTTTGCAGGAAGCTAGCAAGGAAAAGTTGGTAATTTCAATCTTCCCTGGAAGAGAGTTGTATATCATTGGGGCTGATACAGAAAGAAATTCCTGCTCTTGACAGAAAGTAAAAATCCAATGAAAATGGATTGCCCAAAGTCACTAAGTACTTGATGCAAGTGTTAGAGTTTATGGCCACCATGTGGTTGTCAGTTGGAATTGCTTTATGACAAGAATATGCATTGGGCTACGTTCCTTCTGCTATTAATGGGTCTCACTTAAAGCTAAGCCAAAATCAAACCTCATCATGGCTAAGCATGATATATGGTTAAAGATATAGTTATGAGGCACCCAGACCTAAAACTGCAATTTGAATCCAGTCTTAGAATAGATTTATTAAAATAATTGGATTGAGATCATCATGTAAAGGCAAAAAGGAATGGCCTTGAGGACTGGAGAAATAAGTGCTACTAAAGCAATGGTCAGATAAATGGGCTTAAGCCCAGACCAAGAAAATAACTTGAGAAAACCTCTCAAATAAGCTCCTCCCTAATTTGTATGAGTATACAGGAAAAAAAAACAAGAGAGGAGGAAGCACATTCAGATTTGCAAGATTGATGTCAGCCCTACAAAGTAAACCAGAAGAAACCAATGGCATGTAGATCAGGACAACAGTAACAGAATCTTGCAAGCCTGACTATGCCTCCCTCCCCTTTAGTTTATCTTCACAGGAACTAGGGATGTTTTCTCAAATTATTGGTTTGGCCTGGATTCAAGCTCCATTTAATTGACTATTGCCTTGGTAGCAGCTCCTTCTTCTGCCCTTCAAAGCCATTCCCTATGCCTTCTATATATCATAAACTTTCATTTTAATAAAATGGGTTTACTCTAGATAGAACCTCACAAAGTGTACCACACATGCTTTGTATGGCAAGAACCCCAGAATTGGTTTCACTGCCAGTGCTCTTATTTAAGAGTTATGGAAAAGAGCTTTGTCCAGACATCAAGAAGTACAAAGTGCTGTGTATAGTAGACCAGATATACCAGTGCCTTATCATGACAAACATGCTGTGTTTACTACAATAGGTTTAACTAGAATAGCTGCAGAGCTAACAGGTAGATTTAATCACCATGATATATTTAGTTAATTTTGGTTTGCTTTTTTGTGGAATAGGAAGTTGTTGATTTAAACACCAGTTTATGATTCAAAGGATTATCCAAACCCAGAGTATGTTGTATGAACATGGCAGTAGAATAGCTTCATACAGTACCTTTGGGGTCCTGCCAACTTGTTGAAACCATTCATCTACCTTTCCATTTTCCCCACAAACCTTTTAAAGCAATTTGATCATCTGTTAGCGTTAATTTATTTTACATTGCTGCTCTGAGCTGGGAGCTTAGATGGCCTAAATGATTCCTTCCATCTCTCAGATCCTATGATTTTATGGTAAGTAGACCTTTACAGATTTCAGCTTGCAACTTAAATAATTCTGTTCCAGGGAAATGAGAGGAGGATAGGTATGTTGGCCACCTTGAGTTATTTATAAAAATAAAAAGGAGGGTTATAAATAAATAAACTATGAAAACAAGTTAATAAAAATATTCAGTCTGTGAATATACTTCTCTATCCAAACTTGACATACACAGAAGTGTAGGTAGGATGGGGTTGACATGTTCTATTCCCCTCAAATGGGAACAAGCACATTAAAAAAAAGGCAAACCAAATGCATATGGCTGACATATCATTTCCCCCAATTACTGCATCTCTTGTACAAGATTTTTTATTTTAAAAAAACTGCTGTATTTCTGCTTGTCATAAAGATGGCACTATTCTTTTGGATCAGCAACTGCAACTGAAAATAGCTGAGACCCCAAATGCTGGTACAGTAGTGAATAGCTTTCAGAAAGTACAATTTGTTCAGCCAGCTAGTGATGCTGACAACACCTCACCCCCCCCCCACTAGACTGAGTTCCTGGCCAAAGATTTACAAAGCTCTGAACGCCCCTTTTCCTGAGTAAACAGGCTTCCTATAATCTTTGGAGCTGCACCCCAATCTAGAGTGCCTTTCTTTTATGCAAGTAGAAATCCTATTTTCCCCCATCAGAGGTTTCATATTTTTAAGAATTCTGGGAAAGTATCTTCTGTGCCTGTATCTCCATTTAAGAAAAGGCTGAAATGGTGGAATTCTTCCTGCCATGCAACTTTTACAAACAAAGCAGTCTGTTGAACTTTCACCCTGCTTTGCAAACTTTCATATGGGCCACCTTAAAAAGGACAGGGATGCTCAAAAATGCTTTTGCTGTTGGAAAACAATCTTATAATTTTGTGATGCAGCACAATAATTTGTCTGGACCTTGCTGACAATTCTTTTCAGTCCTAAATTTCATATTTTGATACTGGATACAATCCTGAAATATGAAACATTCACGCTGTTAAAAGCTTTATAATTCTCTGAATTGCTCCACCATCACCACCAAAATCCTAGTTTTGAACATTGCAATTTTTTTTAAACATAGCAATATGAGGACATTCTTACTAGGTCAGCCCAAATGCCTATATGGATTAGCATATGTTTTTTTCACAACCTAATGTCTCTCTGGGAAGTCCAGAAGCAGGACAAGAACATCAAATTGCTAGACTTCCAGTTCCACCCTGTAGTGCCACGGCCGAGGGATCACAGGGCTCCACACCCCACAGCTGATTTCGCTTGCCAGGGGACCCTAAATAGGTCAAAAGTTGCCCCGGAGAGGCGACAAACAAGGAGGGGTG